AGCCAGGCAAAAACGACAAATTAATGTTAAACCGCGTGTTGACATTACGTCTTGTCAACAAAGTGTCTGCGGTTCCTTTTCCTTCCATTGTTGCCATTTCTTTTTTTTTATATTATTTTCTATTTTTTGACTTTTTTTTATTTAATTTTTCACTTCCATATATTTCGCGTCGCATAATTTTAACATTTTATGGTAGAATAAATATTTAATGAAAAAGGTGCCAAGTATGAAGGTAGCTCTCCAAACAAAAAAAAATTAAATTCAACATTGGGAAGAGTTTGAAACTCTGCAAAATAATCGCTTATTTTTCTCTGAAAATCAAGCAAAAATGTTGAAAACAACGAAAAATAAAAATAAAATTGAAATCGTTCATTTGCGAAATGTCAAGTTGAAATCTATCCAAATATCTCACAAAAAACCGACAGCAAAAATGAGAAATACAAAGTAAAATAAAGTGAAGCTCCAATAAAAGTAACAATATTTTTAATTTTCTAAAAAGGAGCACTACTTTCCATTCATATTTTTAATCTCAGTTATTATCAAAATTTTTGGAAAAACAAGGAAATGAAAAGTCCATACACAGACTCAACTCCAAATAAATTTTATGCAGCCCCTGAACAAGGACACATATCCCAATTCTTTCTTATACATTTTTTTATCTTATTTTTACATTAAATGCCGAATTTCGTTTCATTTTAAGATATTTGAATTGCTTTCACTACGTTTTCACTTAGAGTCCTTTATAATTTTCATGCAATTTTTATATTTTTTTCTTAATTCTTTACTTCACTTAACGTTGTGTCAGTTACGTATTTGAAATGTAAAAATAAAGGACAATAAAAATAATATAAAAAAATAAAAATATTACAAAAATTCTTTTGTCAAAGTGTCTGGAAATGTTTTCATACATTTTTTTCCAGCCCAGCATTTAATTCTTTTCCTACATTCTAATTATTTTCACCAAAAAAAAAAGAAAAATTGGCGTGAAATTCGATTAGACAATTCTTCTAAAACGAAAAGCTATATACGATAAAATAATACATGGATTATTCAAATCCATTTTTGTTATAAACTGAAAAAGTATCTAACATTTCCACCTTTCTCAGAGTTATATATCATTTATAGTAGTGTTTTTTAAGTTTAAAATATACCTCCAGCTCAAAAAGTACCCGGATTTTGTGAATAAAAAACACAAATTTAAATTTTATTCCAAATTTATTGTATCTCCTTCAAAATATGTTCCTTCTGAAGCGACACACATATGCCAACACTTAACCCAATCTTCCATACACTTTTCATAGTCCCGTGTAGGTATGACTTTTAGTTCCTTCGACGAATTCTCTTTTACCGATTCAATCGACTCAAAACGCTTACCACGAAGGGGCAATTTCAGTTTCGGGAACCAGATCTGGCGAATATGGTGCCTGAGCGATGACAGTGGTGCTGTGTTTAGTCAAAAAATCGCGTAGAACTGAATTTTCCATAGTAAAAATCGCTAAATGTACTTGAGGTTGTCTCACATTAACAGCTGCTGTAAACAAACTAATGGACAGATGGCGCTCAAATTTGTACCACATATCAAGAAAAAAAAATTTTTTGAAAAAAGTCTATTACTTAAGGAGTAGTTAACAAACAACAAAATCCGGATACTTTTTGAGCAGAAGGTACTGCGAACCGGTACACTATTTTTTCCCAAAAAATAATATTAGAAAAGATAAAAATAAAATATTTTATTGACCAGTGGTACTAATGTCATGCACCCGCGGTTAGGAAACGATGATTTATACAATACAATGTTTTGTTTTAGCGTTGAAAGTTACTTTTTATTGATAAAGTTTAAGCTTTTTCCAAAACAAAAAAATTTATAAAAAATTTTTATTGCGAACAATATTCAATATTTAAAAATATTTTTTTAAATAAAAATTACACTTATAAATTTGTGTTAGGTATTTAATTATATTTCAATTTTGTTTAAAAATTATTTATATTACAAATATTCGAAGACCATCTTCAATGTACAATAATAAACAAAAGAAACAACATAATTAAATATATATAAATAAACATATAAACATATATCCAAAACAAAAAACAAAAAAATTTTTACAATATAAGAATTATATACAATAAAAATACATTTAAATACATAACAAAATTAATATACACAATAAAATAATTGTTTATAATATATATAATTCTGTATATAATTCTATACATAATTCTATTTAATCAATATATGTATAATATGACAAAAAGGGAAGGATATAGTGCTCAAAGGCAACATTACTTTATAGCGGTGTTTACTACTGAGTGTCCCGCTCATGTCTACATATCATTTTATTCTATTTTATATCCATAAGTAATACTGAAGATTGTGACGACATTAAACGACCGCGATCGCTTAAATTCTCGCGTCTAAGGTAGCTTCGAAAAACACTTTATATACTACAAAAATGTTTATTTATATATTGAAAAAAGAAGAAGTTTTATATAGATTATTATATAGAATTATCTGAATTATCTGTTCTGTTCAAGTAATACATGATTACGAGGAGTAAACAAAATACAAAACAACGCTATAACATAAAAATAAGTAGAATTTTAATTCAGTATTAAATACCTAGTTTTTATTCTGAAGCAATATACTAATTTGCATAGATTTCTAAGTACTTTAAATTGTTTCGAAACTAACAATTTTATTCCTTTTAGGTATATCATACGATATATAATATAACAACAACAATATAACAATATATAAAGATATATACATGAATGAAATATGCATATGTACTTCAAAATGCAAATGAATTTCTGATATATTATATACGAGTATTAATAAGTAGTATTCAGATAAATACAAAATTTAAACTTAGGGAATCCCCGAATGAATATACGGTAGCTTATATTCATATTTCATTTATTATAATTTTTTTTAGAGATAATAAATATATATGTATGATATATGATGTATCATACATGACATGTCTTGCATGCATTTGTGTATAATTGTGTATAATTGTGTATAATTAAGCATGTAACGTTTTCCTTCTAATTTTCGAAACTGTAAGAGACTCTGATCTCTCCGAAATCATTCGCCGCTAGATATGGTATTTAAAAAAAAAAATTTCAAGTCCTTAATCTGTCATAAACTGAAACTTTATTTCCATAAAAAAAAATGATAAATTAACTTCTTCGGCAATAAGCTTGTGAACACTATTATTCAGCCCAACTTTTAGCTTAGGTGTTACCCTCATTCCAGAGTACCTATTAAGAAGCACAATTGAAATTAAAATATACTATTGAATCCACAATTACTGTAATATTTTTCAGACAAAATGATTCTTTGGTAGAAATGTTTCCATTTTTAGTGAGAAGTTTATACTGGACGCTAAGTATCTTTGAATGAGACGTCGGTGTATTCTTCGATTAATATAGATAGGTTATGAAGACAGTTCTGACTTCTGTAAGGCTGACGAACTGAGCTGAAGTGATACATGACTTTCCATAACATCATTTTTAATTGTTTACGTTCCTACTATGACAATTCGGGCGCCTGTAAGACTGATGAACTGACCTGAAGTACCACATGACTTTTCATAATATCTATTCCAATTGATGTTAATGCATACCTTTAGATATAGTCAAACTGTCTAAATGTACAGAATATCTCGATAAGCCCACATGTCAAACTACATGTATGTCAAGGTCCAAAATCAGAAAATAAAAAAAGAAAGACCTGCTTGCCAGACAGTGCCCAATATAATCACTAATATAATAATAATATAAACATAACAATCACTAATAACAGCAGTCACTAAAAATGAGAATAGACAAACATGTCTATTAGTTCAGGTTTTTCATTCAAAAACCACTATCGTAGCTATGACTTAGAGAAGAGACGGGAATTGCCACTCATTTACACTATTACTGCCCGGTGTTCATAAGTAACCCTTTATATATTGTAGGGTCTACCTTAGTTAGTATCTGTCTGATATCATTAAAATACGATTTCAAAAAACTCCTGTTTCAATTAAAAGATAAAGTAGTTTTCAGGTCCGAAATACACAGGTTTGCTTTTGGTCCTTTAGAACAGCAGGCGTGCACGTAAACAGTACAAATATAAAGATCCTAAGTAAGCCACGACTTTTTGTTAGATAAGCTATCACTCGCTTCTACTATCTACTGTATTATTATAGATAATACATCGCTTAAAAGTCTAAAGGAACCTCTCTATAAAAATCTGGAGTTGAATTTCATTAAAGCTGGAAATAGTATGTACTTTGTCTTACTTTTGTTTTTCAAGTCTTGCTAAACTTCTCTATAAAAATCTGGACTTGAATTTCAATAAAACAGGAAATAGTCTATACTTTGTGTTAGTTTGACATTTATGGCTTAGTGGAGTTCCTTATGAAAACATGTACTAAAATTTCATTAATACAGGAAATAGTCTGTACTTTGTCTCATTTTGATTTTGAATGTGAAATTAAAAGATTTTTTTTTTTAATGTTATAATAATAATAATAATTTGTAGCTTTCTCCAATCTTTTAAGTTGATAGTATTTACGGTTGTTATACTGCATTTCAGCTTAAATTTTCATTACTCATGGGCGATAAGAAAGCTCAATCTATTGTTGAAATATATGCAATAAACTTCGTTCAATTAATCATTTCCAATAATATTTAACTATTAACAAAAATATGAAGCAATTTGCAAAAGTTTACACAATTCAGTTACACTGAAAAAAATACCTGTATGTATTAGGAGACATTTACGATAAAGAATCATAAATACTGTAATTGTTTGCACTCTATGCCGCGAACAAGCATTATTCACCCAATTCTTTAACATCTTATCTAATCTTATCAATCTGAATTCCACTACCACAACCAACCTCAGTACAGATATAAACATATTAAAGAGTAGCGAGGTAAGAAAAAAACGTCTATATGAATTTGCTAAAACTGAGATTACAAATATTCACCTGCATGTATCTTATCACCGGGCACTAGGCGCGGTTCATGCGGACAAATTTTATTTTAGTACGATTAAGCAGACAAGTGGAATAAGGTGAATTTCGTGATCAAGGTGGTCAATAAAAAGTAACCAAATATAGTGCTGATAGTGAAAAAAAATTATATTAGAATAATATTTTTAATATTCTAAAAATAAATTATATTTTTTTGAAAAGAAATCGGTATAAAATCGATGTTAACATAAGAAAAAAGTTTGAAGTTTATGGAAGCGTTGAAAACAAAAAAAGTATCTGTTAAAAATATAGAAAGAGCGAACGAGTTCAATAAGGTTTACTTGAATTATACATACAGACAATAACTAAATAATTAAAAAACTTTTTATGTGAATATTTTTGAATATGTATAAAATTTATGAAAAACAATGTGCCTAACTAAATGCTTAATAATTTTATTATTTTAAGTTCTATATTTGCTTAGAACTTGCGCAAACTATTCTCTATCTATATCTTATCTTCAGAATTAAAATCGCATTTACTACTTCGAAAATAAAGTAAATACTCGTATGTGTGCAAAGTAGTGAAAAGTAGCTAAATTCAAGTAACTTTATATATAAAATTGAGCATTTTCGTGTTTACTCTGCTGCCATATAAAATATATAACCAAGCCCGTATTACACCTGCTAATATTTGTCATAAATACATTTTTGTTCAAATATCTACTATCAAGGATGAACTTATAAGCTCTTTGGCATATTTTATCTTTTTTTTTTTAATGCAAGTTTTTTATTTGTGTGTAAATATTTATAATTTTAAGATTACAAATACGTTACTATATATTTTAAGTAATGTAATGTGAGTAAAAAGTATTGTGCAAATTTTGAGTCATACTACCTCAAATCGTATAGATTTCTAATCAAACACATTTGATATAGATATACATAAAGAATATAAACGTTATCAATTATCAATAAAATAAAATATGTATGTACACATACATATATTATATATATGCATATATATTATTAGAAATGACGTCAACTTCTCTCAATACAGTTTAGTTTTCAAAAAAAAAAATTTGGTTGAACTAACAAGTGCATTAGCTATAATTATAAAAGTTATTGCGAAATGAATTTATATAAGAAATTATTTTTCTTTAAATAAAATTTGCACCGCAACTCTATTTGAACTTACTAAATTAGTTCTATTTTATTTTTATGATAGTCCTATATAGACCATTGCCTCTCCGATAAGATTTCCTTTCAAAGTCTCTATTAAGCATTAGTTTTGATAAATGGAAAGCATCTAAACCTACTGTGTGAGACTTTAACTTATTGAAAATACTTCTTATTAAACGGTAAACAGTGTTAGTCGAAGAGCAAAAATCCCATTTCGTCTATAGAATTAACGTTAGGAAATTTGGATTTTTCTAAGCTGAAGCGCAAGTATTATGGTAAGAAAAGACTGTTAACCTAGTATATGTTGATATATGTTGATCCTTTTTTCGAGTCAGCGCAACTGGGCACTTTTACTCTTTGATAGCTGGGGGTTATACAGGGTCCCACCCAGCTCATTGACTCATTATGTATTGCCTATAAGCTTCATGATTATTCAGCGATTGATCTAAGATCTGCGTACCTCCCCGTGCGGAGAGTGATTACTCTAAGATTAGATAGTGGTAAGTAGGAGTATGAGCGCAGCTTGTCTTCATTTATTTACATCAGTTTTTGTAATAATGTCTTCAACGTCATTTCTTCACCATTTTTACGGTTTTTCTCTTACTTGATTTTTAATATTATCTATATATCATCTGCTTAACCACAATGTCTTGAATCAAATTGATAATATATTCTAACCGATATAAAATTGTGTGTACCTTATACCAATTTTGCTCTATCTTGAATGTTATTATATATTTGCATACTTGTATATATCTGCGCTTAAGTTATTTGCACCAATTTCACAGAAAGCTATTATAGGAATAGGACAATATTCTGTATTATAGTATTTAAAATACAAGAGTATCAATTTAAATACGTGGCCATAAATATACTAAAGCATTGACTATGTACAATCTCGCATAGCTGCAGTTATATCTTCATAGCATCTTAATATCATGCCTCAACGTTTATAATTTCACATTCCCGTATAATGGATTATATTTTTCCACTCATTGTAACTCGGTACAAAATACCCAATCAACAAATCTAATAAGTGGCATACAATCTTTTTGGTGTCGCTCATATATATATAATATATATATCATATCATATATTCTATCTATATTCTATCATAACGCTTAGCAGTATTATCCGAATTTCACACTATTATGAAAATCTGGTACAGTTATCTGAACATCATTTTCATGTAGTTTTTTCTTATACTGTTTATTGTTAGACTAATTCCTTTTCGATCGCAGTTGCAAACAATTTAATCCTAATCATTTACTATTATTAATCTGTAGCTCAATGTTGATAAGTATTCAAAATAAAAAAAAATGTTTTATAATAATATAATAGTATTACCTAACATTATACATAAGTAATTTTAATTATTCATATATTATAACACTATTATTTTTAATATAATTCAATATAATGATGATATGTTTCCACAAATTATACTTAACCAGAAACAGAGCATGGATCTAGAAAACATGTTTCCCCATGTAAAAAACTGTAAAGCGTGAAATTTAGTACAAAGTTAATAATTACTACTAAATTTTTGCAAGTAATAAAAGAATATTTTACTATTTCATTTCAATGCATTTCATATATATTAGTTATGGTATATTGCTGTTTGAACATTTCAAACTATATTTTGGATTATTCAGGACCTTTTATTTGATTTTCGCATTCGTAGATTATTAAAATTTAAGAATAAACAAAAATATCTTGCACACCTCTCTAATAATTCTTAACCGAATGCATTTTAGCAATGCACTATAATAGCCCTACAATACAAAACTATTGTCACAAATCTTATGAAACCATATGGTTTTCAGTTCTATCATAATAACTATACAGTGCGTTTGGAACCTATGCATGTTTTACAATATCCTTTCATTCTTCTTTGATTTTAAAATTTTCTTACTTGTTACTGATGTTCATCTCTCTCTGAGATCTTACTGCACACTGTAGCTCCACTTTTGCTCTAGGTCTTTGTAATTTTTTTGTTGTTCAAAATTCACCTTTCAATATTCGTAATGATGATCATTGTTTAAGCATATAGATAACGTCTGCTATTGACTTCAAGTTTGGTTTCTCTATATATCATATCATTGTATTTGATATTCACATTATTTGTATCGTTCAAAATATCTTATATAGATGATATTTATAAATTTATATTATATAAGCTTTTCCTCTCTATGGTAAGACTGCTTTAAAACACACTATTTTCAGCTTGTTTTTTGTCTAGAACAAAGTCGTATATATGATATATTATTCAATCAACATCATTTACGCATACATTACACCATAAGCTGCAATATGTTTGTTAGGGGATTAAGCGTAATTGATAGTTTTGTAATATATATCGTATCGTCACGAGTAGCATATTTGTAGAATTAGACTCTAAATAATAAATGAAAATGTAAAAGTAAAGTACAGCTAAAATAAAAAATATTGTCCTATATTTCTTCAAGTAGAGCCAATTCAATCCAATAAACATATAAACCGGTGATTAACTATAAGTCGGCTAATTTATCCCGGCTAATTTATATAGTATATTATTATTTGTTTTATCAAAAGATTTTTAAATTGCATGCAAATTAAAAATATCTATTCAAAAAGCATACAAATAAGTATTACTTGGGTATTTAAACTTGCTCTATTTATCAGAAGAGAGTTTGCCACATAAGCATAGCTTACTCCAATATGCACACCATAATGTTCTGGTGTTTCTTTGTTGCTCCCTTCGATGTTTGCCGAATTGTCGCAATTTCTAAACGTTTAGTACATTGTAAATAAATTCAACAATTTTATTTTTCTTTGTATAGTGCAGTTTTGTGCTTATTTAAGTATTTTTATTATACTATGTACATATAAAAATGTCAACCATAAATTAAATAAAAATTAACCATGACTACTTTTTTCTTTTTAATTGTGGAACAAAAGTGGTTCCACATTTAGATATGCATTAGTGCACCTATTTCACAGTTGGTCAGTTGGTTTTCCATTGTTTTGGATTTAAATAATTCAATACAAAAGTTTGTTTTTTAGACGATACTTTTAGAAATATATTAAAACTTTATTGATGAACACAAGTTCATAGTAAGTATGTAAATAAACATGTGTTCATTTCAATTCCTTGACAACTGTGTTTTCTATGTTCTATTATTCCCTATCCTAATTATTATAATATTTAAACAAACTATATTGATGAATATATATATATCATGTACCATAATGTTCATGTGCAATTCATGTCCCTCTTTAATTTTAAAAAAACTAAGGCTATATCTCATTTATGTAATATATTATTTTTTTATAGCCATATTATTTGTGTTTCTCAAAGAAGTTATTAATCATATTTCAGAAAATAACCAAGCCTTATCAATTCTTTAATAAGATAAGAATGTAGTAAGACCAGTTAAATAAAAAAAGTAGGAAATGCACATTTCAAGCTCCAATAGATCTTACGAATGTGCTATATTTACGAATGTGAACTTTTATTAAAAAGCTTTTTAGATGCTTTACGAAGTATCAACAGTATCAAAATATAAAAATGAAATATCAAAATATTCAACATAATATATATAAATAATATATCAAATACTTTTATATAAATACTTAAATTAATGCTAAAATTGTGGTATTTCCCCTTCCCAGAGAACCCTAAATCTACGCTTTAGTATTTTTATATATACGAACACATATTATATGGTAAATATATTAGAAGCTAAACTCGTGCTACTCATGTTTTGTTATAATATTTCAAGTTTTAAGATAAAAAAATAAGGTTGATTCATGAATAAATAATTTACCTAGACAACATTAATTAGAAAATTTATATTATATACAAATTGTCAAAATATAAAAAATAAATTTGGTTAAATATGTTCTTAATGCGAATATAAAAACAATGAAAATGTACTCGTACTATATTTATATTATGTCCATTTGTGCTACGCGATAAAAGATAAGTATTTTTGTAAATTACTAAAATACAAAAATCGATAAGGAATTAACTAAAACTATATAACTTCGCAATTTCTTATCTTGAATCAAAGAACACACATACAAACATGAATGCATGCATACATACATACACGTATATACATATATGATAATAAAAGAGTGGTAAATCTTAGGCAGAAATTACTTCTAACTACTAGAAAATGGTAGAACTTAAAAATATCTATAGAAAAATATTTAACTAGACGACTACAAACACCAGTAGCTTTAAGTTACCTTCACCACATAAAAATACTATATATATTTATAATTAATTTATATTCTGTCTGACTGACTAAGTCAACAGTACAAGGTATATGTTAATAATGTACATATATATTTCCGAATGGATACTGAAATTTTATACTAAACATTTTTTACTGAAATTTAATATCAAAAATACTATACGTACCTGTATACTCTTTTTATACAAATATTAGTGAATCAGCCTTTCACTAACTGATATGTTATAATAAGAAACTTACTAATGTTTTTACTAACTAAAAATTTAGCGCATTGAGCACAGGGAAATATATTCCATAAAAAAAGTATCCAGAATTCATAATTTCTAAAAGCGATTAAAAGATACTGAAGATACTAAAAGATACAAATTTTTCAAGTTTATAGGACTCTACGTTGCTTCCATGCGAAATTTGACGTTTGAAATTTGATGTTAACATCAGGTATTGTTGCGATTATACTTTAGAGTGTTCTGCGATAGCATAAAGCTATTGAAAGTAATCAGCCAAATACCGTTCTCACCTAGTGTGGGTTTTTTTACTTCTGAAACACAAATTACCACTTTGAAGAGTCCTTTCGAGTTTATAACCATAAGTTTACTAGTTATAAAGAATATTTTTTCGACGTAGTTTAAGGTTATACTTTAATCTGTCTAGAAGTAATGTATGAAGGACTGAGTTATTAAATGACTTATTTTGAAATTATATATTCATTTTTATTACATAATGGAACTAACGTCCTAATAAAAGCACGCTTTTTAACCAGACATGTCGAACGATTAGAAGTTCAGTCAAACGATTACGCGTATTAGAGAACTGAACATCAATAAACGTCATTCGCTTGTTTTATTAGTGACTGAGATTCGAGTGAGCCAATAATTCCCTATAGATGTTACTTTCCCTATGCATCTATCGAAAATAGAAATACTCATTAACTTTCCTGGAGAAGTTTGCGAAGACTACGTTTTAAGTTTTGCGCCTAATAATCGATATAAACAGCACAGTAAACACGCGTGAACTAAAACGTTGTAAAGATATTTATGGTGGAAAATGTTAAACTTTCGAATAAAAACCAGTAATCATCACGTATCTGTTTTTCCAAAACATAATATGGCTCCTTTTTAGTTTATAAAGCCTATTGAAACATAGTCCACACATTATTTAATAAGATCGAATTATATAATAATAATATAATTAAAACTAAAACTAAAACGTTTAAAATTTTGCCTTCAAAATACAAACACTATTAAACATCATAAATACTAATCAGCCCAACCAAAATCGTAGCGCTTTGCAGTTTATAGAAATTTTATGATATCAGTTTTTTTGTGTAATTTCCGTACGTTTAAAAAGTTTTATGTAAGTTATATTATTTTTAGGCCATGGTCACACAATAATAGTGGACTATTCCATAAGACATTCCATAGTAAATTCTATATATAAGCTACTGATAACAAATCAAAATGCCAATGCACATAAATGACTTTAGTATCGATTTTATACCGAACAAATAATTGGTTATGATTTTGCACTTAACTAAGAATTGAATTTTTTATGCATGATTTATTTTTATTATTATTACATAAAAATAACATTAATATTATTTTCCACATTTCAGAACGATCGAACATAGCGAACTCAATTAGTTAATAATGCTGCCAACAAAACAAACGACAGTCGCCTTAGCGCTGGCTGCTGTCTTCCTATGCTGCAGCATAGGTCAGACTCAAGCTCAAGAAAATGCACAACTACAAATCCCGCCATCACTGGTGGAGTGTTATAATACAAGTTATTTCATGAATCGCGATAATCGTTTGCCGTCTAACATAGGAACCCTTATTTCACTCATCGAGAAAGTAGAGAACTCATACAACTATAACCAGGACATACGACAATTGGCCATAAGTTTAATACATCGTTTCCGACAGGATGGCATACAGCGTGCACCAAATATAGTTGCATCTCCAGGTGTTATACCCTACAGTCCGACTGGTTTCCAATTTTCCAAATTTCGTATTTTATTGCAAAGACTAATACCAGGCAACGCTTATAATTTCCCAAATAACTCACTATCAGTTGAGGAACGTTGTTCTCTGCACTTCATGCTTTCCAGTTCATTCGATACACGCCAACGTGGCGATGAAAATCAAGTTTGTGGAAAACTCTCACAATATCGTGCACAACGCTTACCACGCGCCGCTCCCGCACAAGAACAAAATAACTTTATTGGAGACGTTGAACTTCTTGAGACATTTGGTGCTAAAAACAAACGTCGTGTTGTTCCACAAGGCAAATTACGAGAAAATGTTAATATTAATGCCAAATCCTTTGACTATGATTGGGGTTATGCTGATCCTAATTTCGGTTACAGTAGTGGCGATAATGCAGTAAGTCAGTGCCCAGTTGAAAATGGTGTCATTTGGACTCCATGGGGTACTGTTGCTGCAGGTACCTTAATTGCTGGTATAGCTGCTGGTCTAGAACAACAAAGTGTGCAGTTGCGTACATTGTTGGCTTTGGCAAGACGTCAAGGTGGTCCAAATCTACCACAAACTACAACAGTTGCAATAGATAATCGTTGGGCTGCAACACTGGCTGGTGACCTCGCTGAAGTAGCGCTGCTGCAAGTGCCTAGTTCATCATCAGAAACTGCTTCAGTTGGTGCAAACGGTGCCTGGAATAATACTGTCATGCCAAAATGGTATTTCTTGTCTCAGCGCCAGAATATGGAAATGACAGATGCTGAAATACGTGGTGGTTTGGATGGTCTTATTATTGCCATGAATATAGTTAATTGGCGTACACAAGCACCTTCTCTTAAATTATCACAGTTATTACGTATGTACTATTCAATGGATGGTGTATTGAGCTCAGGTATAATGGCCTGCAATCGTAAGGATAATTTCCCAACATTTGCTCCACTTAACACAATGATCGCTCAAACTTCCGCCTTTGCTCAAGTTCTTGATCGTGAAATGCAGTTGCGTGTTACTCTTTCAGCCACAGCGATCGCAAATTTCTCGAATTTAGCGGCCAATGCTTTGGAAAGTTATATACGTAAGTAGATATTATAATGAAAATGTTTTTAAATTCTGTTTCATTGTATCATTTTTATTTTTGATGTTATCCTATATACTTCTTATTAAGAGTATTCATTAAAAAAATTACAAAAAGAAAATTCTTCATAAAAAATTGATTTATGGTTTTCCAGTTATTTTTGCACTGTACACCTTCTTTTAACGTGATATATAGTTTCCCTGTTATATTTTGATTCATCCTTCTTCAAGATTACTGCAATCGACTAAAATGGACTATATGTCGTCATATGGTTTGCATACCCTGTACTCAACCCAGTCGTATTTACGTGTTTTATATTTGCACTCATTAAATATCTTAGGCATCATAGCTCATTGTTATGTATAGGCCTGAGACAGCATTATCTGAAACGATTTCTCAAATATATATTACTAAAAGCCAAAAATTTCGTCATGAGACAGCCATTACTCATCCCTTCAATCAATCGTTCCACACGTTCTAAAAAGTTCGTGGTTGTACTAATATTTGATAGTTGTGCATATTTTGACCTATTGTTGAAAGTTCCGGATATACCATCAACATACCAGTATTTTTTTATTTTTTCTATCATAATTTCATATAATTTTCAATTGTTCTAGAATATTTTGGACTGATAGTTATTTTCGTTTACTTTCAGCCCAATACTTGAATGATGTTTCTTGTTCAGTCAGTAATGCTCTCCCACAGGACATTTCATCATCAATTACCGCTATGACAAATATTTATGTGTTCTTGGACACTTCCTGGCAATATGGAAACATTGTGGACTACCTAGTGTGAGTTTAACTATTTATTATGCATTGCTACATATTAAAAACCATTTTCTTATACACACAGTTACATATTGGAACGCTTAAATATTAATCCATATGCCAGTTCAGTAACTCTATTAGCAGCTGCTGACTGCTCTGTTATCGTAAATACTACTAACAATATTGCAGACGTATATGAAAACTGGAACGTAACCACGCATTCAATGTGTAAGTTACTCGTTTTACTTGATTTACTTGACTTTGTTACTCAACTTATATTCTAACTTAATTCCAGTTAATCCCGGTTTTAATTTACCTAATATACTACAAACCCTACAAAACCTGACTCAAGCTTATATGAACGCTGAACAAACCAATTCATCTGTAGGCGGACGTTCAATGGTAGCACTTATGATGCCAAATCAAGCCACAGTCAATAGCGGTGATTCAAGTTATTCCACAACTCAATTGCTATATATGTCCGAGCAAATTCCCGACTTGCATTACATCTACTATTCTGGTGGAACCTCTAACCGTTTTTCGTCATTTGTTAACGATCCCAATCAAGACTTATTTAGTTTAACCATAGGCTCTCAGCCTTCTGTATCTTCAGGTCCTGTTGTTAACCGCATCAAAAAGGGTAAGTCCCCTTCTATCCATATGCCTCAGCGATGAAATTTAATTTCCCAAAAAATTTTTTAGTTCCACGTCGCATTATAAATCCTAATTGTGGTTCAAATTGGTATTCGAACAGCGGTACAAATAACTATAAAATGACTCAATATGCACGACCTGGTGTCATCAACTTCTATCGTATGGTCCCCAACTACTACTACGGTGCAGCCAGCGGCCGTTACGTCAATATACAACCACAAAGTTCCATGCAATTTACCGTTTGCTCTTCACGCTCAACAGTTTTACCAATGCAAAATTCTACCAACTCCGGCAGTAATCAAAATTGTGTACAAATATCTGGTTCAAGTTCTCCATATAGCTATGATCTGTCCAATGCCTGCGACGGTTACTACACTATTCACCAGTGTCCTTCACTTTACTTATCAGTACAAGCGATGAACGTAACTAATAGCTATACTGTGTCTTGTACAGACGCGGCATGCCAAACTCCGGATCAGTTACAGTATTCGATTACAGTAGCCAACCTTGGTTGTTACAGTAGTGCTAGTGGAGTTTTTGCCAGTTTTATTACAATTACTTTAGCTTATTTCCTACTGCAATTCTTCAAATAAATCGGTTCCAAAATTGAAGGCACCTTAGACATAAAACAGAGGCGATTAATATTTGACAAATACATTATTGGATTTGTTCAATATTTAAGCTCCCACCATACAAATCCAAAACCAATTAATTTAATTATACAAACATTACAAACACATATTTTTACTATTGAATTGTTTATTCTTTAATATTTTAAGTATTTTTTCTATTTTAAGTTGTATTTTTAACAAAAGTTGGAATTTGAATACAGCCATAATAAAGACAACCAACACCATAAAAACAACAAAAAACTTTCTTTATCACTCATTATATGGGAACCTATAAAACTTACTATTTACCTAAGTGAACATATAAAATAGTCTTCGATTGAAAATCTAAATATATTATAATTAGAATACATATGAGTTCACTTATTTTTATATTTCTGTCTTTTAAAAAAGGCTTAAAAAAATCTTTAAAAAAAAATCTTATAAATTAGTTTTGATTTTTTTCTTTTATATAATTTATATAATCTATATAGATATTGCCGAAGTTTCAAAGTTAATTTGACTTGTATCTCAGGGCAGAGTATTGATATAAATCGTTTATTCACTTAAAAATAGATGTAAATGAGTTCAGGCTCCTTGGGGAGGTATTCAGATCTGAGGTCAATTATTGCTTAGTCTGATGAAGTGATAAACAATAATCTAGTCAAGGTATAGAGAGGGATTTTGAGGAAACCTCGAGTTAAAAAAGAGTATAAGTGCTTAAGTGCACTAGCTCAAAATAGCTGCAACATAATAATAATAGTTTTGTATTTAATCAAATTTTTAATTCTACAAGATATTATAATTCTCAATCACTATGAATGCAAAAATTTTTTTGAAACAAATATTGGAAATCGCACATTAAAACCTTAACAATAATATTGTGAATTGACCTATTTCAAAGAATAATGCAAGTTAAAAAAAAAATATTCAACAACTACAGGGTTGATCATATTAGGTGGATCCAACTACCAACACTCTAGCTTTGACAAGAAAGGTGAGATTGACTAATGATATCATGAATTTGAAGCGTCAGATATGATCTTCATAAAGTGATGTATGTATTTAAATCTTCTTAAACCAAATTGAACGAATTTTAACTTGAGCAAAGAAAACTGTGCTCTTCCATTTTTTGTTTTATTAAATAAGTGGGTTCAGGTGAACATATAGTATAGCCCATCCTGTATTCTGGCTAGTAGATATGTTAACTATTTAATTGATACGTATTTGAGTAAATTCTGCAACTCATAATATAAATAAGTTTTATTTTATACCTGATTTCTTTAAGGTGATCTGTATATATATATAATTTGAACAATATAAGGAGCATTCCAAACTAAAAAAAAATCTTTTTAACAATAATATTTATAACAAAATACTTTCAAAATATTTATTTATAGAAAAGTCTTCTTCATTATGTACTGACTAATTATATAAGTTCTAAAGAGTTTTTATATAGAATGCACTCGTTTATAGTATAAAACACTCGTATATTTCTAACGACTTTAGACCTAAAGCAAATTAACACGAATATATATAAATTATATTCTTCTATCTATTTTCATAAAGCGACGATAAGCATTTGTAAAGCAAATGAGGAATACGAACATCAAGAGAAATCTGACATCTTCAACACCACGACTATTATAACCGACGTATATGTTTTCTTGGACACCACTTGGCCTTACTATAGTATTGTCAACTATTTAAAGTATGTACAGAAAAACAGAAACTTATCACAAGAAATATACTAAGAAATATATACATATTACTCTTTTTTTATTTTTAGTTACGTTCTACAGAATTTAAATATAAATCCATTTGCCAGTTCAGTGACTATATTAGCCGCTTCAGATGGTACTCCTATAGTGAATACAACCAACTATATAAACGAAGTTTATGCTAATTGGAATGAAACCACACATTCAAAATGTAAGAAATTTAAAAGTACATACTCTTGATAAGAGCAAAACTATAATTACTTTCAGATAATAGTGGTTTTAAATTTCCCATCATTTTGAATACTATTCGAGATTTGATTGAAGATAAAATGAATACAGAACGTCAGTTAGCTAAACCAGGGGGTCAGAGTTTGATTGCTTTAATCATGCCCAGTCCAATTGCCTATGTTAGTGAAAGTGATGAACGCTATTGTTTACACTTTTTAGATAATCTAAACTATACGCTTCCTGATATTAACATCTTATTCTATGCTGGTGGTGCTGTGATACGTTTTAAAAGTTTCGTTTGGGATCCCGAAGATGATCTGTTTTTGTTAAGTTTAGACAATAGCGTTGAACGAAGTGCTGAACATGTTATTAAACGTATAAGAAAGGGTAAGTTCTTTGTATAATACATTTATTTTAATAATTGATATATATATACATATATCATAGAACATACGAAGTTGAGTCCATTCTTCTTAGGCTTGATTAGGCTTTGGCTAATAGACTTAGAATTTTTCCATTATTTAACATAATAACGTTAACATGTTAGATCCATTAAGTTAGTTTATATATATTTTCATTGTTTTAAGGTTGATATATTATTTAGTCATTTAAAGGCTTATCCTTTATCTTTACCTTTATAATCTTGAAACAGATCTAACTATTATATACACGAAATACTTCATATATAAATCACATTAGAACTATTCTAGTGTGGATCTGCATTCAAGATGTGCGTTGTCCTCACTACTTTTCTAAGTAGTGGATGTTATTATGAAAACTAGCAACCAGCAAGTACACTAAAGAAGAATGTAATAGAGACTTATTTAAGAATTTAGATTAAGCCGACTGTTAATCTAATTAATAATTGTACTTAAAATAATCTTTCAGAACCTCGTCGCATTACAAATCCACACTGTGGTGCCGATTGGCAACCCAACAAATCGGCAATGAATGCAATGATGCAAACTGTACGTCCTGGGGGTATTAATTTCTATCGAATGGCACCAAATTATTTCTTCGATAGGAAAAGCATGCGTTACATACAAGTAGATGCGAACAATGCTGTAACGGTGACTGTTTGTTTCTCTCGTGAGGTCAGGTACCCACATCGTGAAGGTAGTTTGATTCCGGCAAATCAAGATTGTCGTCAAATCACTAGCCTTTCACAAAGCTACGATCTAACAGATGCTTGTACCGGATATGATACTATACTGCAGTGTCCACCGCTTTATATGTCAGTGCAAGCACAAACTTTTGCTGATTCAACACAAGTGTCTTGCACTGACGAAGACTGTCAAAGTCCTGATCAAGTAAGATATACAATTTTTGTTAATAATCTGACTTGCAATGCTGCCATACGAATTCGATGGGGTTATTTAAATGCACTGAGCATAATCCTTATTGTTCTCTGCATCTTTTATAAAATTTTCTAAGCCTCTCTAATTGAATTTGATATAAGTCTTATAAAATAAGTTAAGTTAACGTTTTAATACATCTTCCAGTACAATTTAATTTAATATTATTTAATTTAATTTCATTCAATTTCTGTATTTACTTTTTGGTAATAAAAAAGTTTTTGTTCAATCTTAAACAAATTAAATTTCAATTTGATTCTCATGAGTTTGCTTTTTTTCTTCTCCAACTTTAACCTCAAATTTAGTTTTACTTTCAACTTTATGACTTCTAGTTAAGAACTTTAGAACTCACGCACTTTAAGGGAATAACATGTCCTTTTCAGTGGAAAGAAAAAAAAGAAACAGGATGCAACTGGCATTTGTAAAACTTTTCGCTTTCCATTTGTGAAGAAGACAACTTTGAAGTGTGTGTCTTTTTCTCACTTCCTGCTTATTTACAAGAACATTTCATCTTTGTCAGTATGCAATTTAAATTTTAGCTGAAATAATATATGCGAAAAGAACCATTCATCAAGCACTTGTAGTTAAAAAATATATAAATTTTTATCATAAAAATAAAATTTTAAGTTTTTCCTTATCTAAAAAAGTTACACAATTGGAAGTATTAGAACTGCTGTGAGTATATTAAGTTGGCTTATACATATTGCTTCATTAACATTACAGCAACAATACAACCCTGGATTTTGTTATAATGCATATCTGGTCGTCACAGTGCTTTTCCGTGCAACTATACGCCAGTGACTTACCTAAAATAAACTTAAATTCCTTTCTTCTGATTCATTGGTTTTTCAACTGAAACATAAGTTTGGCTCTCGCTATAACATATTTCCAATCTTCACAGTGTCTTGCAACTACCGGAAATCATATTAAATCACTTTTGTCCTCTTTGGTCCATCCGACCCCACCGATTCGTTAGAATTAAAACAACTGAAGTACAACTTGGTTTTTTAAAACATAGGACTGGTAATTCTATCTCGTAACTCCAGCCATTTATCTAAAGTATGCTCGAAAGATATTTAACCACACCGAGCCAGCAAGATTGTTTAGTTTTTTTTCCACTTGAATTTTTCAAACTCAATTTATTTCTCACTGATTAACTATTTATTATGATGCATGGCCAGTCCAACTCTATCTCTACATCTTTTTTTTATTTTTGAAACCTATATTTTGTATCAAAAGTAAAACTTTGACACAGAATTTCCCAAAATTACCTCAGTATCTATTGTGGATTCTGTTAAAATTTAAAAAAAGCTTAATTTTTCTTCACAAAATGTACATATAATTCACTGAGGCTTGTTTTTTTAATCAGTTCCTTATAAACCTAAATAAATCGAGTTTCCTATGAGTTAAATATATATGACAATCTATTTTCTTGGAAAAAGTGCTACAAACTATTAATTTCACCAATTTCATTCCATCCAGAAGTAATCATAAATTTAATACTGTACACTCTTCTGTTTCTTATTCTATGTTTAATTTTAAACTTCTAAAATTTTTAAGATTATTTTTCTTCCTACTGTACGTCTTTCATCAAGGACAACAATCAATTTCGAAACATTTCTCAAGTTTTGCTATAGTTTTGTGCTACTAAAACTGTAATATTCCAGTTAGTTTCTAAATATAATCTATCTCGAATCTAATAAATTATAATTATGTTAATAAATTCTGATGGGATAATCACTAAAGAAATTTGATTATTTATACAAGAACACTTCATATTCTTGTTATGTGACAAAAGTAAATTATATTTATTTGCTAAATATATTAAGTTTAATTTGTTTTAATAGCTATTTCCGCGCAACCGTTTATATATTCAAACATATCTCTAGCTCGACTGTGCGGCTTGCGTGTTTTGCGTACTGTACATATCTAAAACTGTAACTCCATTTGCACTTCAGTGATAATTGTGCTACTCAAACTGTGCATTGCTACAAATATTATTTTCTCTACCTATCTCAAACTGTAGGACAGTAGTTATTATCCAAACCATATTTTTATTTTATCTGAATTGTTTAAACTGTAAGACTGCACACCTAGCCAGCGCACTTATTACAGCATCTCTCAAAATGTTTGTAAAATAATGCGTCCGCTCAAATTGTTGTTTGGGATATGCGATAGTAGCTTAATAAGTCTGTGCGTTAGTGAAGTCAGGGAAAGATGAATTTTCATGAAAAGTTTTTATTATTACAAACAATGTTTTTTACAAATACAATATTTTTTCTTTATTTCACCTCCTCAATTGTTATGCCCTTTTTCAATTAGTCTATTCTATTTAATGCCATTTGTATCTCAAAAAACAAAAACTGATGTTATTCCCGCTGATATAATATTTATATATTAATTTGTTTTTTTTTTATTTTTTGGAACATATTGGTCTATAGAAATTTTTTCATCACAAAAAATAAAAACTACATATAACTTTCTCCGCTGATGGAACTTTCTTCACCTTTTTTGAAGCATCTTCATCTTATGAACTTTTCTCAATTTCCGATTATAGGAATATAGCCGTATTTCATCCACAGTTTTAAAGCAACACTGAAATTATCTCTAAACGCGCTCTAGAATTTGCAAACGCTTTTTAAAATCTATATTATATCTATATTAAAATCTATATTAATGTTTTTTTTTTGGTCCACTATAAGTAAACGTACATTCTTTCGGACAATTATTTCATTATCAAAGTCTCTTGCAAGATGCTCTTATAAAATTTTTACTAGAATCAAAAAGTCCACAAAGTTCAAGTACAAGAATTCGGTAGTACAAAAAAATTAAAATGGATAATACTTGCTTACAAAAAAATTGTACTTAACCAATATGTAAAATTCTTTTTTAATTTTTCCGAATTCACCAATTTTAAATAGCTTTAATAAAAAAAGGTCTCATATACAAAAAAAATTTGACTTAAGGTTTTCTATATTATCGCATTATGAGCAAAATATGTACAACGAAAATATTTGAAAACTTATTTAATGCAGCTACCATAGACCTATCAAACAGCCCTCGTACAAGACATTAAAAAATAAACATAAAGTGAATACATATGTTATATATAAATTTATATATACATTTTTTTCAACAAAAAAAAAAAATTTTATGTTCAATAAATAATATTTTTATTAATGTAGAAATTTAAAGCATTTATACAGAATATTTTAATCATATTATATATTTTCTAATATATAATATAATATGTATGCACGTATATGTATATATGCATTTATATATATATATTTTTTTTATTAAATACAATAAAATAAATATAGTATATCCATATTATTAGTATATCCATATTATTAGTATATTCATATTTAATAAAGTGTTTTTGCAGGATGAATGGTCCAATTTTTTTATTGTTACAATTTAAAAATTAAGAAAATCTATTTTACTATAATTTTTCTTTTTCTTAATTTTTATTTTTTAACAACAATAAAAAAAATTTGACCAATCAGCCTACAAAAACACTTTAATTAATTTGTTTGGCCACAAAATAATTATTGTATGTAATATTTTATATAATATTTTATGTATTATGTTATATATAAGTTTTTGATAAAAAAATATTTGTTTAGATATAAAAATATATATTATATTATGTATTTATATTTTTGTCATTAAGTACAATAAAATAAAAATATTATATTTATATTATTATACTAAGTAATATTTTTATTACAATATATAGAAACTTATTGTATTAAAAAGTATATTTTAATTATATTGTTTTATATATTATTTTATATAATAATATATTATAATATATTATTTTGCAATAAAAAAAATATTTGTTTAGATTAAAAATAACGGTACATTCCACAATACGTTTTTCAACACTTTTCCGCTCACAACTAAATTTTTCAGCAAAAGCAAAAGTAAACAAAAAGCGAGAATTACGCACAAAATTTTTCAACATAAAAATTCATATTCAAAATTTCTCCACACACTCTCTTTTACAATAGTTTACCACCCACCCGGCCGTACCCAACCGGACACAGAATGAATTGCACACAGCGAAAGGCAAGAGCAAGTGTCGGCATCTCTCACTGTTTGCGTATACGAAACAATTCAATTATTTATCGATTTATACCCTTAAATTATATGAAAGTGATTTTAGGTTGAAGGAGATGAAACGGAGTGTGTGTGTGGGTTGTGTGAGTGTGGGCCGTATGCTGGCAAAACTTTCAGTTGGGGGGTTGCGTATATTTATAGTTAGTAATACATATGACGCGAGCGCACTGTGTTGGCTGTGGTTTGAGTGCCCGCGCAGTGGAATCAAATAGTTTAAATGTATAGTATTAAACGGTATGTTCAATGTGGGTGTGCGGGTGTGTGTATTGTTTGTGAAATATGTTTTGTGGATTGCTTTTATGCCATATACAAATGCAGAATGCATTCCTTCAATTATTACTAAATTGGCAATTGACGACAACACAACACACGGTACTCGTTACGCGAAGCAACAAAAGTTAAAGTACACAATAACAAAAAAAAAAAATAAAAAAAGGAAAATAAAAAACTCGGTCGACGTTAGTCACAACGCCAACGTTGGCGTTGACGTCAACGTCATCGTCAACGCTGCTACGCTGAAAATAGTTTTTTTTAGTTACCGTTGTGCGTTGATATGTTAAGTAGTGTGTGTGTATGTGTTTGGGAGTTTGTGAATTTTGACGTACGTGTGTTTTGCGCTAAAGCTAAGGAATAAAAATAAATTTTCAATTTTAGACGCCAATTTCATTGTGTGTCGACTCGGAGGAAGGAAGTCAAATGTGTATGAAAACCTAAAAGTATGTGTTAAATTATTAGGAAAAAAATTTATTACAAACAAGAAAACGGAAAAATTGAAAGAAATTTTTGAAAAGTGTGAGCAATTCATATTATTTTGAAAATAATGAAGTCTTTAAATATGAGAAATATTAAAAAGATTGTATTTAGTGTGATTTATACGCTTTGCATTTAAATTTGGTGCTGACAGCAGTTTACTTTATACATATTATTAAATCGTGTGTAAAACATCTTTAAATAAAATTATTAAAACCTACAAAAGATTGTTCGAGTGTTATAAACTGTGGGAAAATGTGTT